TATGATCCTCCATGAAGTCCTCCCAACAATGCATATTTCCTTCTCTCCCATCCCAAGTGATTTTTCTTTCTCAAATTTTTTACACAACCTTAGACTTTTTAGTCAATGTTTGATCAAATAAATGAAGGCAGTATAAGTCCATTCCAGGCACTGAGTGGTGGTGGAGAGTTGGAATTGTGAACAAGGCCATTTTGTACTTTTATATATTTTATGGGTCACTACAGCTTAAAATATCACCTAGTGACCAACTTTCTAGCCTTGAGTCTCTAAACTTAGGTTAGGCTGGCCATTGGACAATAGATGCATTTTGTCAAGTGGGAACATACTAGAATCCAACGTGAGACAACCTGCCTGAAAATGTGCTTCCCTGGACTACTTCAATAACCCAGGACCAACCAAATCTGTGCCATAATAACGTAAAGGGTTTTGAAACATCCACCATGCTATTACCACTCCGAAGGAAAAAAAATACAAAGAATATGTCATTTCTTCTTTAGTGTTGTCTTCATATATGGTGAACAACATGGTTTCTTTTTTTTTTCTTTTTGATGTAACTAAAAACTTAGATGTGCTTTGAATCTTTTTTTCCCCTCTAGTTCTTTCTCCTTTTTTAAAATGCAAAACATACAAAGCTGAAGGATTTTCCAAATGACTGTTTGAGATAAGGACCATCTGGCTAATGTTTGTACATTTTAAACTGCCAAATTCTGGGTACACATATTCAGAGTGGGCAGTTATGCAAACAAGTCATTTAAACAAAGTCTATGAGTAGAAAATGGGAAGCCATGAATACTGCTAATGGGCACATTGCCTTTCAACAGGAAGTAGAAACCAGAGATTTATCAAAGGTCTCTGCTAATAGCCTCTGGGCCCACTGCTCATGACTTACTTCTCTATAGATACAGCTAGTGATAAGTTTTCCTATTTTGTCTGAGACCAAATTGCCTTGTCAAATATCTTTCATGTCCTCTTTCAACCTAGATGGAGAGATGAGTCTGCTACATGAAACTCAGATCAATCAAGCACTAATCTGACATTACAGACTAGAGATATTATAGAAGCTGAATTAAGTGAGATCCATGAGGGCTGGAGTAGCTAGACAGACCTTCCTAGAAGAGTTGGGCCCTGAGTTGGGTATAATGGTCTCTCTCATTGGAACCAATATATTTGAATGATAACTACACTGATTTTTTCCAAGTCAAGTTTTTGCTCAGGTTCATGTCTTCTCTATCAAGGATAATAAGTAAATAATTCATTAATATTAGACTCCCTTAGGATACAAAAGTGAAATATTCTGCTGTTGTTTATTATTACATTTTGTTTTAGAATATTTCCATATTTGAGTAGATCTATGATCTCATCAGTGTATTTCCTCCAACAGTGTATACCGAAACCCCTCCATGCCTTTCCTCCTAAGTGACTTTTGTCTATCTCCTCTCATAAATCCAAAATGGATTCTCCCAATGTTGGATTTCAATCCCTGGAACAAATATAGTTATCTCTCCCACATCTCAGGGGTTAGGGGTGCAGTGCAGTGCCCCTGTAATCTGGAAGATCCATGTACAATTTTTTTGACCTTCCTTTGTACCAAAGAAGTCTGAATTTTTCTTTTTCTTTTATAAAGTACTTACAGTACCTTATTGTAAAATTTGGGTTGGTGTTATACAGTACTATACATATATCTTATGCATTTCTGAATTTCTAAACTTTTTCTGCATCATCTTCTGGCCTTTCTGTGTCTGCAGCTTCCTCAAAACTTCCAAAAAAAATTCCCATTTAATTTCTTATGCTTCCCTATGGGTAAAGTCATGATGTGAAAGGGGTAACTGTAATAGTATGAATGTTTTGAGACTGTTTAATCATGAGTGACTAGACTAGAAATTGACCAAGATAATCCCATAATGATGTAGTGAGGAGTTATTATTTAGTCTATTCCCTTGCCTTTAGCAAAGGTTTATACATAGAACATCCCAAGTACATGAGCATATAACCAACTCTAAAATCTCTCCCAAAACAGAGATACTATGGCCCAACATGTTTAATTAACACTGTATCTGCTCACATTGTATAGACAGTATATTCAGCCAGTTCTGGTAAGGCCATGGAAAGTGATGGTCCAACTGTACATTGTAGTAGTTGGACTTTACAAATGGATGGTACACTTGAAGAGGAACAACACAGTGCTTCTTAAACCATGGGTAGCCACCCCATATGCCCATAGTTTAATAAGTGCTAAAGGAGTTGCAAGTGGAAAAAGTTTAAGAAGCCCTGAACTAGAGCATCTCCACAGTAGAGTGATCAAGGTGATAAGATTATGAAAATTGTCTTATGAGGAATAGCTAGGGGAAAAAAAAACCCTAGGGATATCTGGCCAGGAGAATAGAGAAATAGAGAGACTTGATCCCTGTCTTCAAACACATGAAGGGTCATCACTTAGTTATACGTGACAGTCTTCCACGCCTGCAACATTTTTCCTCATTTTGTGTCTTAATGGGCTTCTCTTCAAGGCTCAGCCCAGGTACCATGTCCTACCGAGTACCCCAGGTGTTAACAGCATTTTCTTTCCTCAGATAATGTTTGCACACATGCTATATTCCTCTACGAAAATGGAAACTCCTTTCATCCAGATCTTGGCACTGGTCTTCCACTTAATAGGCACTCAAGTATATCAAATTGAACTCTGTATTTTTCCTGGAAGGCAGCAACAGGATGGATAGGTAGAATTGAAGAATCAACATGAAAGACAAGAAAGACAGTATGGTATTGTGGAAAAAGCACTGAATTTGGAGTCTGAAGATCTAGGTTTGAATCCTGGCTCTGACATAGACCTTGGACAAATCTCTTACCTTCTCTACCCCAGTGTCTTCATTTGTGAAATTGAAGTGTTGGACTCTGAGATGTAGTCCTTTTAGCTTTATTTACATCAACTTTTCGACCACTAGCATCATCTAAAAATTGAATGGACTGTGTCCTTAGGATTAAGGGCCCCCTCATTTAGAATGTAGTACAGCTAAGATGACTGGGATGTTGCAAAAGAAATTCCTGAAATGACTGAGAATTTAGACTAGATGACCACTAAGTTTTCTTATAAAACTCAGATTTCTGCAATTTAAGATTTATCTAATATCTTCTCTGTGGCCAGCACTGTGCTAGACAATGTAGAGAACACAAGAGAAAATATAGAACTGATTCCTAAAGAAGCTTACTCATTTTAATGAGTACAAAGGCTTCTGTTTCTTCATCTGTGAAAATTGGTTGGATAAGATAATGTGTAGGATTCCTTCAATCTCTAACATTATAATCTTTCTGGGACATTAGCCAATATAGTCAACTAAAATCACTCATGCCACAGGAACTTTTTTGTCATTTGTAGGAAATCCCACTTTCTGGACCCTGTATAAAGCTTTTCTTCCCCTACTTAAAAATAATTGTAGTTTGAATTTTAATCTTTTCTCATGGTTCTTATTTTTAATATTTTAAATCAGAAATTCTTTACTTTGTGTCATGGACCCCATTGGCAGTCTAATGAAACCTATGGGCCATTCTGCACTGCAGCTTCATGTTTTTAAATGCATAAAATATGAAAGATCACAAAAGAAACCAATTATATTGAAATAGTTACCAAAGTATATGTTTTTAAAAGTTCATGGCTACCAGAGTCAAGAACCCCTGCTTTAAAAATTTCTGTTCCTGTCCTTTGAACCCACTTCAAAGTTTATATGTCATTGTTAAGAAATTAGGTCACTTAAAATAGAATTGCATTTTTGTTCCTGAATGCCTCTGTTTCAGGATTAAACTCAAGAAACAACCACAATAGAGAAATTCGGGAGAGAAAATTGTTGGGAATCAACATAAACCATGTTGGAAGGGTCTTAAAAAGAAACACCAATCACGACCAACACCACAATATCATATACTCATTGAGAAAATTTTATTAGTGGCTTAGTATTTCATTTTCGTTCCTTAAAAGTTAAACTAGCCCTCCTGTTTCCCAATGTATCTACATTAGTGAAAATTCTAGGGCTCATCTTCTTGCTCACATTAACATATTTTGTGTTTTAAATAAAATGTGTCAATGTCAATCTCAGTAAGATTTTTGCACTTCCTCTCTCCTGCTCTCAACTCTCTGCACTTTTTGTGCCCATGCTCCAAACTTAAACTTTACCTTGAGTCCCTCTGAGCTTAACAAGTACTCTACACTTTCCTCCTGTCTGCCTTTTTCCATTTCTCCAGACCATTCTTGTGATTGTGTCCCTTCACATGTGATCTTCTGTGTCACACCAATGCACTTACTCACAGCCCTTAGACTACATAATATCAGAACATCGAACAACATGAAAGCATCTATTATGGGGGAAGCCTGGGGAGATGATACATAATACAGCCACACACCCACTCCCACTTTTCAGATATAAGTGCCCAAGCTATTTAATATAAAGTTCCTTTATTCACTACATTTCACTGATAGAGACTTCTTCATTGAATAGTTTATGGTACTTTTGATTTCTTTGTAATTTCTTTAAACTTATATCTGGTTTTCAAGATCGGGACATTAGACCAGCAAAATCCTATTAGCTAGATTAATAGATTTTATTTGTTTTGGGGCAGCTTACTATTTCTACTTAGATTTGCACTAAAAAAACAAAAACAAAAACAAAAAAAAACACTGTACCTCAATGTAACTCAAGTAACCACTGTTCTTTAAGGGAAAAAGGGTAATTTAATAAGATGCCCTTAAAAATGCCACCTACTCAGTGCAAAAGCAGAAAATTCCTTTTTACAAAGGTAAACCATGACATGACATTTCTCAATTTTTAAAAAATCCCTTTGTAATGCACAGCTGATGAGAAAACACTCAGTTATCATAAATATATTTTAAAATAATATTGTGCTTCATTTTTTCCCCATGATTCTGTTCTCTTAGAGCACAAATCCCATCAGTGATAAACTAAGGACCCCTGCATATGTTACATACTTGGTACCACAAATGAGAAGTTTAATACCATGAGACTAGAATACTATTTATTTCATAATCTAAACAAATACTGGAATTAGATCTAGGCTCTTCTGTTTTTTAGAAGATTTTACAATGAGCATCTTTTTTCTTTTTTCATTAAAACAACTGCATAAACACATTACATGCATGCTTTTAAAAAAAAAAAGAAATAATTGTAATTTACATTGCTTTCCTGTTTTCTGCATGAGGAAAAAGAAATACTGAAGTTATGGTAGTGTACCAAAAAATACGAAGACTATGCTCTCTCTATGCATAAAATATCCATCAGAAGCATGCTGATAGGCATAAACATGACATTTATTACATGAAATGTATTCTTTTAAAAAAAGGGGGGGAGCCTAAGTTTCTACATGTAAATGAAGTTAAACAGGCACAAGCATAATTAATCAGAACTGTTTTCAACTGGCACCAAAACAAAGCAGTCTTTGAAAATCTAATCAGTATAGCCTAAAGAGACTTCTGTGATCTAGTTATGAATTCCATTACAAGGAATCAGCTTTCTACTTTTAGTGGGGAGAGGAGAAAGAGGATGAGTGTTTTCGCATATGCCAGTTCTCATACATGACCCAGTCTTGTGCATGAGTGGGTTTTCTAGAAACCAATACTGTAGTTGATTAGTGTTGAAATACATCAGTTTGTTATTCTCCCCGGTACTCCCTCAACAGTCTATGGCTGGTTCTTCATTTCCCATTTGGTTTCTACACAACAGAATGGTCATTGCTATGAACTCCAGCCAAGATGGTATGGTTGAGTGAAGATGCTGAGCGATCTGAGCCATCAGTGGGGCCATTGGCGTTCTCATTCCGCTGGCAGCAGAGGATCTGTCTGAAGGTGGCACTCATTTCCTTGTCACGGTAAGAGTAGATGATGGGATTCATGGCAGAATTGAATTCAGCAAGAAGTAGGAAAAATTTTTCGTAGGCCAGGACATCACACTGAGGGCAGCAGACATCTAGAAGTAACAAGACTAAGCCAGGAGTCCAGCAGATGATAAATGCACCTAGCGAGAAAAGGTAGAAAGAAAAAAGAAAGATTTAATAATTTTTGATGAGCAACCATACAGTATGATTTCTTTAGCCAATGACTTCAACATGGACTGTTCATAAGAGTCTGGCTATTTCATAATAAAAACTAAGAAACAGTAATAAAAAACTCAGATTTATACAGTGTTTGAAGGCTTATAAAACAATTTTCTCATGATGACCTTGAGATAAATCATCAAGTTTTACATTCTTTAACAGATAAGGAAAGAGAAGCTAAAAATTGAAAAGGTTTGCCAAGGTGGTTATATTTAACGACTGATGTGGCAGGAATCCATTTCACTGGTTTGGCAGGTAAAAGGTTATTCAGATCATGTCGTTTAGATAGTCATTCACATGGCCCTTGCTACAGTAATGTTTGGGTTGCCCTGGTTCAGGAACCAACATAACCCTTACTTCAGCTGTAGTTCAGGTGGAGATGCCATACTGACCCAGAAAGAAGGCATGAACACTTTCTAAGCATTCAGAGTTCTGAGTCAAGGTAACCTGAGGGAAAAGACCTAAAACATGTCTTTGTGACAGGGAAGATAGAAGTTCAAGAGAATCTTGTTTTTAAGTGTAAGGAAAAACTCCCAGCAAATATGACTCTTAAAATTAAAGTCCCCACTGACTTGGAAGGCCTCAAGAAGAAAAGTTGAATCAATGGTACTATATTATTCTTGGCATGCAGTGAGCTAATAAAGGAGACAGAAAAAAATAGGTGCAATGGCCATTAGTACAAATAAATCCTTGAAAAGAAAGCATGAAGGAGAATTTGTAGAAATGGGGGGGCTACATGTGCTAGCAATGACCATTACACAGACCAGATGATATAAAGAATGTGGCTGACTACCACCAGACAATTACTTATTGGCCACTGTGGCAGACTTAAGATTGACTGTGCCCTTATAGATGAGCAGTACATGTAGGGAGGACAGGTTATACCTCCCTTCCTATGGAATTGAGAGGTTTTACAAGGAAGACATTATATAGCTAGAGTGATAGAATTGGAGTCTAAGGACTCAGGAAAACCATGGTTCAAATTATACTTTTGTCACAAGCTATGTGACCTAGACAAGTTACTCAATCACTCAGACCCAATTCCTTCATATGTAAAATGAAAAGGTTGGACTTAGTCTTTTAAGATCCCTTCCAGCTTTAAATCTATGATATATAACAACAAACCAAATCCATTTTGATTTCACTAATTTAGTACTTATTTTGTTTTAAGATTCTGTAACTTAAATGGTATGAACACTCCTTCCACTAATATAAACAGAACCTGTTTTTGAATTAGTTGACAGTAAGCATGAGCTACTAAGTACTCCCCCCCCCCCCAATCCATCACCCAGAGGTCAAAATTTTACTTTATTTTTATTTACTTTTAAAGCAGAGATTTTTTTGTTCTTTTATCTCCAAATTCTCTTTATCCTCCTCCTCTCTCCCCTACCCAATGAGAATCCAAGAAATACAAAACTAATTACAAATAGGTATAGTCATGCAAAACAAATTTCTGCATTAGCAGTGTTGAAAAACAAAAGCCAAGAAAAAGAGATATGCTTCAATTTGTATTTTGAGCTCATTAGTTCTCTCTGGAGATGGATAAACTGTTTCATCATGAGTCTTTTGGAATGGAGATGTTTGACCAGAATTCCTAAGTTTTTCAAAGTTGATTATCTTTACAATATTGCTGTTATTGTGTAGATTGTTCCCCTGGTTCTAGTCATTTTATTTTGCATCAGTTCAGATAAATCTTCTCAGGTTTCTCTGAAATCATCCCTTTCATCATTTCTTACAGCACAATAATATTCCACTACATTTATATACCACACCTTGTTTAGTCATGCTCCAATTGGTGGGCATCCCTTTAGTTTTAAATTCTTTGCCATTACGAAAAGAGCTACTATAAATATTTTTATACTTATGGGTCCTTTTCTTTTTTCTCTTATCTCTTTGGGATACAGCCCTGGTAGTGGTATTGCAGGGTCAAAGAGTATGCACAATTTATTAGCCTTTAAAGGCGTAGTTTTCAAATTGCTTTCCAAAATTAGTTCACAACTCTACCAACTACTGCTGAAGAATTGCACCTGTTTTCCCACATTAGTGGGACAAACTTAAGGATAAGCCTCTGAATGAACCTAGGCTTGTCTTCGGGGAAGAAAAAAAAAAGACAATCTGTTGTCAGATTTGTTCCAAAGCCTTTACAACTTGGTAGGGCCTGCCAGAGTTTGCAGGATTCTTGAGAATCTAGGATTCCCTCTTCACCATGAAAAGACATTCAAGTGGGACTTTTGGTGGAGACTATTTCTATATCTATTAGAATTTTGCTACTTCGGCAGTTCTGAGCTGATGTTTACTTTTGCATCAAATATAAATAACACTTACTAAGCAAACAAAATAATATGGTAGGAGGCATATTTGCCCTACTTAGATTCACAGAATCATGAAGTTTTGAAGCTAGAAGAGAAATTAGAGATAATCTAAACTAACCACTTTTGCTTAAAAGAGCAAACTTTTAGAAAAATTATTTTATTGTCTACATACACAGGAAGGCTGCTAATTCATGAGCCATAGCTATATGTGAAACAAGGAACTCTACTCAAGACACACCTGTAACCACATGTAACAGAAGATAATAAAAATGAAATGGTCCTTAAAATCGATTTAAAATTCAGGTCTACGTTATTTGGCCATCTTCCATTTTGTTTACTTTCCTTCCAACTAGACTGATTTAGTAAGGTTTTACTCTAAATGCAAATGAAATCGTGCCCTAATTTAGGGACCAAAACCTCAAAGTATCCTAAACTGAACTCATTCCTAACTCCCCACCACGCCCCATGCATACACTTTTGTGGATGGATGCAATCTTAGAACAGAGGTTTCTCAAACTTTTTGGACCAAAGACCCCTATATACTACTAAAAACTGAGGAGCTCCCAAAGACCTTTTGTTTATGTAGGTTGTTGATAAATCTTCTATATTAGAAATAAAAACTTCTTATGTAAATACTTTTGACCTCACAGACATCCTGAAAGGACTTCCCAGGGTCCCCAGACCACACTTCGCAAATCACTGCCTTTGAGTCTTCTTTATAAAAAAAGATTCCCCATGCCTGTAATTTATACCCTCTTTGCCCAAAAAATTCTTTTCCTGAAGTTCAGCTACAACATTCTCCATGAAATTATTCCTGATACCTCCTCCAACTTAGTTATAGCCTATCCTCAAATAAGTGTTTTGTGTATCTCTCTCCTTTGACCCTTTCACTTTCTACCTTGTATCATATTTATTTGTATATATGTCTTATTCCTCATGTTGACATATAAGATCCTGAGGGGCAAGGGCTGTATTGTTTTTGTCTCTGTATCCTCAAATCCCAGCAGAGTAACTCACACATAGTAGGCACCTTATAAATGTTTATTGAATTGCTGAATAAAAATTGGAATTAAACGGACCATTATATTCTAATCCAGATGTGAGGCTATTCACCACATAGACAATGAGGGAGAATTCAAACCTATCCAAAGGCTCTGCTTCAGGTCTTAAATAGGAATAATATGGTACTCCTGAATTTTTTTAAATGAGAACCTGTGCAGGTAGGTGGAAGATAGGACTAAACTGCTTTTGCATTTTTATGATTCAAGAGAATTAAAAAAAAAAAAAAAACCCAACAAGGTTCAGTTTCCCCAAGTCTAGTCTTTGAATATATTTCCCTTTTGTAACTTCAGAGGGGAGACTAAAAATAAAGTCAGAATATTTTCTCCAGAAAACTCTTTGTTCTGTAATAGAGGTACACAAACCACTATATGTAATTGGGAAATGTTGGACAAAATAAATAAAAATACAACATAGATAACATTAATTTGTGATTTTCTAAGTCATTATGTGCTGCCAGGTATCTCTTTCTATTTGAGTCAGACAATATTATTGTACAACACATTCTTGTGTTCTACAACTATTTCTATTTATTGATTTAATTTTATAACTGCTGCTTTCTTTGAGGATAGTTCAAGTTTCTTCAATTTCAAATAAATACATCACCTTAGTTTTTCCTTCCAAAGAAATTTCCACTATCAGGAGATAATTACTAAGAAGCTGTTTCCACCTCAAGTGTTAACATTAATAGAGCTGTCATTGGGTGTCTTGTGAATAAAGCTGTACTTTACAGGCCTGATAATTAAAACAGAAAACCAACCATAAAGGGGTGGAGGGGAAGGGGATATCTCCTTGAGTGGCTGGGAATAAAGCATTAGTCAGAGAGAAGCATGGAAGAAAGTTATTCCCAAGGAAAACAACTGCTTAATTCTTGCTAATCCAAAGTGGCCCTATTATGCAATTTACTTAGAAACTAAATAGACCCACACCCTTCATGAATTGGATGTCTTTTTAAGTTTTAAGTTTTCTTCTTTTCTTAAAGTTCTATTCAGTGAAAATTCAGAGCCTATACAGACACATCAACATGAATGCCACAGCCCTATTTTAATGATAGAGATGAAATGTTCTCATTAGAGGAAAGAAAATCTATCTCATCATTTAGACCATGCATTCTTCCTTTAAAGGACAATGACCAAAGACTGTGTAGAAATCTATCTCCTTTGAGCAAAAATTCTAAATATGTCTAACAAATCTCCATTTTTAAAACATTGTTCATTTAAAACATTTTTAAAACGTTCAGGATTCAGATATAGTCCACAGTGGCTCGTCGAAATCTTTCCATCCCTCCTTAAACCTCCCATGGATCAAATCCCACTCTGTCAGCTGAGAACCTTGTCTCATATTTTACAGGGGGGAAAATGAGTTCCTGTCTATTTCCTATCACTCAGATGCCTTCTGCCACAATTTTCTCCTTTACCCCTGTCTCACATCATGAAGTGGCCTTATTGCTTACCAAGGCTAATCCCTCTACTTGTTCAAGAGATTCCATTCCAGCCCATCTCCTCTGACATATTGCCCTCTCTGGCATCCTCACTCTGTCACTTATTTTC